CCCCAAAACCCCAAAACCCCAAAACCCCAAAACCCCTTCTTCTATTTCTAAAATTGAATTTGAGCATAATTATTTTAAAAATGCCTCTAGCCGAGATTGAGAGTGAAGGCCACTGGTTTAAATTTGAGACTAAGATCAGGAAGATTATTAAAGACTTGATCGATCCTATAAATCATCAGCTTAATAAGGATAAGGCAGATCGTGAAGCTCTCTTCTCTGCCATTTCTAAAGTCGAAGACAAATTTACAAATCTATCAGAGATGCAAATGGCGATTCATAAAAACAAGGAGAATATGTCCTACCTCCGTCAAGAAATGAGGGAGCTAAAGGATCATAACAGGATGAAGGATACTACGAACAGTCAGGAGTTCACTAAGCTAAACTTCTTTTGTACTGAAAATAGGGAGAAGATTAAGCTAATTCAGGCAGAGATTGGGCATTATAATACAGTTATGAACCATTCGAAGGAGGAAATTAAATAAGATTCATAAGTTTTGAGTAAACTTCAGAGACACTGTCAGTGCTAAATGTGATAACCTTGAAAATGATATCTTATCTGTTAATAGTAATGTTAAGTACCAAATTTCTACTTTGGAATCCAAAGTTGAGATGAATCAGCAGACTGAAAGTGGGAATAAGAAAGTTTTGAACGATTTTGGTATAAATCTTGAAATTGCCAAGGCAAGGCTTGAAGAAGTCAATCTATCTCTGGAAGATTTATGATCTACTAAAGTTGATTATTCTGATTATGAATCATTAAAGATCCGAATTGAACGAGATTATAGGATACTTCAGAGATATACAATTGATCTCAATGAGGATATCCGCCGTACTAGCAATTACATTGATAAGCAGGTAATTTTTATTTATAAAATAATAGATTCCACTTGAGCTAATTCATAAATTTGGAGAGATTTTGGACTACCTTACTCCCAGCAATGGGGCTAAGCTTAAACTACAGCAAATTATTCAGCAAAACTTGAATATATTAAAAGTAAAATTTATGAACGATAAAGGAAGACCAGACAACGATCTCCAATTATCAGAAGTGTTGGATTCCAATTTCCTTTGGGCTCCTCTATTCAATTCTGAGAAGGACCAAGAATCAGAAACTGAAGAAAGCGAATCTAGCTCTTCTAGTAATTCTGGACTAGTTGAAAAGACTAAAGAAAATCATGCTCAACAGAATATAGCTGAAGACAGTAAACAAGAATTAAAAGATAAACTAAAAATTGAAAAAGATGAACCAATATTGGATAAACAAGAGAACATTAATAATAAAGAAATTCAAAAACTATCGATTGAAGATACCAAAAAGGAACCTCCAAGTGGCCTAAAAATTGAGAAAGATAGCCCTACTGGTAGTAAAAATGTGGACGTCCAAACACTAAGAAGCAAGATACAAGCATTTCCAACTGGAGATCCTATTCTTCCTCTGCCTAGGAATAGCGATGAGAAGAGTAAGAATCGTAATCAGGAGAATTTATCAGAAATTAAGATATTATCTCAAAATTTGATACAGGAGGATCAGGTAAAAACTGAGAATTTGCAAGGAATTGATTGTCAATCTCCAACAAAGTTAGAGAATCCGAACCCTGAGGTACAATATCGCCTATTAAGAATCATTTCTCTATCTGTATACAAATTTATGAGAAATATAACAAAACTATAGGAAAAGGTCATCACTCCTGAGAAGCAACCCGAGCTAGATAATAGCTCTCTTGTTGAGAAAATCGCACCTCAAAATCAGAAAGATTTAGAGGAGGTAAATATTTTAGCCTATTCTGTAGGAAAATGAAACTCAAGCTGTTGACCCAGCCAAGAATCAAAGAAACGAGTTATTCCAGAACGATAAAATTAAGAAAGGATTCAAGAAATTAAAATAATGCATCGTTAGCAATTGGAAAACTTAAAAACTTCAAGAGAAGAGCTGGGATTTCAAAACCTCAAGGGAATATTACAACCACACAGGAAGGAAGAATTACTCCAGAGATGCTAAACTCAATGGTAGGGAAGATACCTGCAGAAAAGATTGATATCATCTCGTTGTTACGCTGACTACCCCCTATTCCAAGTCAGCAGGAGATCAGCTTGAATTTGATGCAATTTTGGACCAAAAATTCATCAAAGCTAACTTCGAAGATATCTTCAGAATATAAAACTCAACTAAACTCTAAGATTAAGAAGCTTTCGTTGTCCCTAAACTCAAGAATAGAAACTATGGAGCAGAATTTACTTCTGAAAATACAAGAATTTAGCAGAAAACTGGAAAATTCTCTAGAAACACTTCAGTTTGAACAAGAGCAGATTAATGACAATAATTTGAGGATTGAATCTGAGATATCGCTTACTTCGATCAAGCTCAAATCTGAGATTTCCTGAGCGATGAGGAACCTTACTCTTCAAATAGACAACTGAAAGAGAGGAACTGAAAGAAACAATGAGATTTATGACAAATTTAATCATGCTATTAAGGTCTTTTTGCAAGTTTTGAAGATCAAGAGTTGTCTTGATGAGCAAGATGAGCTTGACAGGAATTCACTTGCCCTATGGGGAGCCCATCAAAAGCAGTCTGCTAAGGCTAGAAATAAAGATTTGGATGAAAAGAGCCTATCTGAAGAAGTTTTAGATCCGTCTCAGGTGAAAACATCACTTAAAAATGATCCTTATGGGGCTTATAATTTAGTAAAACTTGAGAGGGAATGAGTTTCTTGAACTAACCAGAGTCCGATAATTTTATCTGCTTTCAAAATGGCTTGTCTTGCATATATTCCTAGTAAGGTAAGATACAACCAAAAAGAGTATGAGAGAAAAGAATTATTTTAGAAAATTTGAGATTTAACTTCAAAAGCTGATAGTATTTACAATAAAATCCCATGGGTGAAGGAAAATATTCTTAAACCACCAAATTCAACAGAGCCATGCAGAAGGGATATCTTATCAATTCCAAGGAGTTCATCGGACTTTAAAAATATCATTAATCTTGATCCAAAATTTGAGGATTCTAGAGGTTGAAACAGCAAGCACTCCATCGTCGTCCCTGATTCATACAAAGGAAAATTCAGGAAGGCAAAGCGATCTCGAAATCTGAAGACCTCAGAATTTTGTCTTACAAATGAACAGAACATTACTGGGTTGACTCTCGATTCAAATCCGTCAAGCGGGTTTTACTCGACAATGTATGCTAAGAAGCGGAGGCATAGAAGTACTATTCGAGCCCCTAAAATAAATATAAGCTAAATTCAATCTTTAGATATCGAAAGGGGTTTTGGGGTTTTGGGGTTTTGGGG